TTGGACTGCTAGCCTGCTCCAGCCTCCAGTTAATGAAATGTGTGGATCAGCTGTTCTCAGACCCGTCATTTTTCGACTGGGACCTTGGATCCAGTGCTGGGAGACTGACAGGTGGGAGGAAGGAGGTGGGACACGGGGAGCCGAGAAAGGGCCGCGGGCTGGTGAGAGCCCAGAGAGCCGGAAGTAGTGCCAAGCTCCAAGTCTACAAGGCTCTGCTGAGCGAGGTAGGCCCTATGATACCTTTCTGTCTGAGGCCCCTAGCTCTTTCCACTTTGAAGAGCGGCAAACTTAACGTGCACCACACCCACTGCACCCAGATCCAGGTGGACCCTATACTTCTGGTCCCGCTCTCCGGCGGCCCCAGAGTCAGTGCGCACAGCTCGCAGAGTCTCGGTTGCCGAGGCCCGGTGCTTTCTTCCGTCTCCTTCCATCCCTACCCTATTGCTCCCCCTCCCTACTGCACTCCCTCCCCGGCGGCCGCGGCCTTTATTAGGGATTCCGCGGCTGTCGGTCCCGCCATCCATCCTGTCCGCCGGCAATTAGGCGGCCAGACAAAGAGCAGCTTCGGATGGATGAGGGTCCCGGCGGATCGGAAATGTGAAGGGTCAGCGCTGCCGCCCGCGGCGCACCCCACTCCCCCTTCCGCATAATCACTGGCCGCCCGTCATTCAGCCGGCCGCCGGGGGAGCTCCGGTGCCCAGGCAGGGGAGGGAGGGGATGCGACTACAGCCTTAGGTGCCTAGGGCAGGGCGAGCGCGGACCTGCAACAGGGGCGCCTCCTGCGGGAGAGCGGACGACTGCGGCCAGAGGCGCCTGGAGAAGGGAGGGGAGTGGAATTGTGGCCACCGGGGCGGGCGGCCTGGGGCGTCCCTGTAAGTAAGCCTGGGACAATAGCTGCGTGAGACAGGAGGATCGTGACCCAGGACTCCCCCTGTTGGGAGGCTTAGGGGCGAAGCCTCAGGGTCTCTGGTCAGTGCAAGGAGAACTGCACCCAGGGCGACCCCTCCCAGGGAAACTGAGGGTCTCAAGCCTGGCGCGCCTCCTATCGGAATAGACATCACACTGCGTTTGTCTTACCCGCTCTCTTTAGTGAAACACAAAGCATCCATATCAAATAAAGAAAAGCTCAAAGTCTTGGGGAACCCGAGTAGAACAGAGAGGAAGTTCAAGGAGTCTAGGTTTTACTGTGTATTCTTGAGTGTTAGCTCCCAGCTGACAAATCAACATCTCAATCTGACAATTAGTGGTCTAGGTGGGGGGGAGAGGGGCTCTTACAGCCAGGGCCCTTCGACTTCCCGGCGGGAGGCGGAGAGGTGGGCCGGTTCTGGCAGTGATGAACGACTCCAGGGGGGCCCCGGGGCCCAGAGCGCGCATTCATTACCCGACTGACAGGCGGGTGGCGGGCCGGGCGGGCTGCAGTGGACGTGCTGGGAAAGAGGCCAGGGCAGGAGGGGGAGCAAGGGAAGTATTGAGTCCCATCGCTCCCCCTGCTCCGAGTTCTTTGCCTTGCTTCTGGTACTTCCCTGAGCTCGGCCTTCTAGTTGTTGGAGCTGGCCCTGGTTGCAGAATTTGGGAAGCAGGGGCAGGGACCTAAGCTCTTTTTCTTGGGTTAGGCGACTTAAGGTCTGAGATGTCAAAAAAGAGTGTAGACAGGCCATAGGACTAGGCTCTTGGGCCTGACCTCTGTGGAATTGTGCATGATTGCGCACTCAGAGATGGTGTGTGTGACAGGGATTGATGGGTGTGAATCTCGCGTGGGGATCAGTGACTATGTATGTCAGTGCTAGGGATGTGTTGGCCTGATTTTGTCAGTGGAGGTGTGAGATTCTCATGTCTGAGGATGAGACACCACCTCTCCCTGCATGTAGGTCCCCCCACCCCACCAGCTTGCTGTCAGTTCTGTCTCCAGTTTTGGAGGAAATGGCAGTGTGCACAGTGACAGCTGAGGTGTGCTGCTGGGGTGTGTGTGTGTGTGTGTGTGTGGTGTTGGATGTTAACTGTGAAAGTGCTGGTCAGGACGGTTGTACCTCTACCACCTTCACCACAACCATTATCTTTTTCTCAAGCATCTTCAAAGTATAGGATTTTTTTCCTCCCAAAGTCTGGAGACCTGAGGAAGGAAGTTATTACCACCAGAGTTCTCTATAGTTCATACTCATACACACGGTCTCCAATATGAGATATGATCTCCAAACCACCTGGGCTCCTTAGGCTGGTTGGTGGTCAGAGAGGAGGAGGTAGATGTTGAACAGACCAGCGTTATGCTCAGGAAGGGAAGAGGCAGAACTTCATACCTGTGAGAAAGCCCACCTCTTTGTGGCCTGGACTAGCATCCCCTGGGACCCTAACCTTTTGGATCTCAGGTCCATTCATTACCAGTTGACACCTTTGGGAAAATAAACCTAACTGTACTCTAATTCCTCTCCCTAATCACTCTTTTTCACTTGGCTTTGTCTCCACTCTCCTCCTCTATTCTCAAAAACACCTAGAAGCTTAGCCTCGCCTCCTCCCCATCCCTGAGTATCTGGGGTCTACAGATCAGACAATCGGAGTGACTCTGGGTCTCTGGTCCCCTGTTTTGTTCAGTGAATCATTAAGGCACCTTCCCTTTGCCTTCCTGTTGCTTAGGGCGAGAGTATCTCTTGGAGCTTCTAAATCTTTATCTCTGTACCATTCTTTGTGTCTTCATGTTTCCAGTTTTAGGAATTTCTTTGAAATTTGTCTTCTCTACATTTTGGGGGGCTGTCTTTGTTCCTCTGAGAATGCCCCAGCCCAGTAGTGAGTCCCACCGAGATTAGGGTAGAGGGAGTAGGGCTTCTTTCCTGCCCCCATCCAGAGGCGATCGCTACACAAGGGTGGTCAGGCTATGTCAGGGCATGCCCGGGTCACTTCTCATTCTGGGCACAGGCACCTAGTCAATGCCCCGCTGTCCGTTCCCCTTTCAAACCTCCCTCTTCCTGGCCCCCGCCCTCTCCGCCCGCCTGGAAAAGGCAAATTTGACATTTTTAAATCCCAAGCCTTAGAAGGATCGATGCGGCCCGGGGGCCCCGCCCGAGGTCGATATTCCTGATTGGGAAGCGGCCGCTGCGCGGAGCCCGCGTGTAAATCACCCGGGCTGGGGGAGGGGGAGCGGGGAGCCTACCGTGTTCCAGGCACTCGGAGCCTGGCAGGGTCAAGGCCCGGCCGGGACCAGGGGGCGACAGAATGAGAACAACAGACTTTAGAGAACCAGAAAGAAGCCCGCCCAGAACTTCCCCCCTCCCTACACAGCCCTGCCAACTCCCCAGGCCGGCTCCAGTCTCGCTTCAGCGACTGCCACCCTCCGTTGCCCCTGGAGCCGCCGGGGAGGCCGGTGTCAGAGCCAGCCATGCGGCGGCTCCTCTCCGGCCGCTCCCGAGGGGCCGGGGCTTCGGCGGCGGCTGTCACGGAGCCGACAGGCCAGGCTAGCCAAGAAGGGGCGGGTGGTGGGGAGGTGGGGGAAAGAAGGCTGGAGCAGCTCAAGCACTCAGTGGGCGCGCAACAGATGTTTGCCGAATTAAGGGGCTGCCAGGTGGTCTGGGACACCTTGGGTTGGGGTCGGAGGACGCTGCTGGAAAGGAGGCAGCCCAAACCTCACTTGGGGGATGAGCAGGCCCTTGAGGGCGCTCAGGAGATCACGGGTCTGGGTTAGACGCCCCCTTCCCACCCCCCGCGGGAGAGACCGGATAGTAAAGCACAAGAGAGAATGGGGTGGGCAGGGAAGTTTGGACCCCAACTACAACCTCCTTCTCTGCCCCTGGCCTCTAGTCTTAGCTGCGCTCTGCTGGGGAAGCCCAGGGCACTGAGGTTGAGAAGGGCCAGGAAGGTTAAAAGCCGGGTCCTTGACAAGGCTGGGGCAGCAACCAGGATTCCCGCATGGATCTCTGGATTCACCTGCTCACCCTGGTTCTGCTGGAGGGTAAATACACCACCACGCTTCTCTCTGCAGTTCAGACCCTTCCTACCCGTTTCAGCTTGTCAGATCCCCCCACCTTCCACCCCACGCCAGTTTATAGTGCAACAATTTGGGGAAAACAATCCGGGCCGAGTGACGGCCCCGTAATTGTGACAAAGTGAGTGCGTGCGGCTGGAGAGCGCGCTAGGGCGGGAGCACCGCGGGGCGAGGCGGAGGCCCGGGCTCCTCCCGCCCTCCCTGCAGCCCCTTGTTCTCATTCTGGTCACCACCCATCCCTCTCCTTGACTCTTCTCCAATTCCTCTTCTCCTGGCCCCTCGCGCCTCCCTTCGCTTGTTCCTCCATCGCTCTTCCCTTTCCTCCCGGTAACAGCTCTTCTCCTGCTCCCCACCCCCTCGCCGCCCCTCCCCCATGTGCTTTTTCCACGCTCACTTCTCCCTCTCTCCTCCGCCCTCCAGTCGTTTTTTTCATCTTTTCCTTCGCTTACATTGCCCTTGGGCCTCTAGCTTTCTCCGCACTATCCGCTTCTCTCCCTTACCAGGCCTAATTTCCCAACCCTAGGTCGAGTCCTGAGCCTCCTTCCTGACCCCCAACTCTCCAAGAGCTTGGCGCAGCCCAGGCTATCCTGGCTTCCTCCAGCCGCAGAGCTAGCGGCCGGCTGCGGCCCAGGGGCCTCCCGCGGTCTGCCTCCTTCCCTCCTCATCCTACCGCTGCCACCCCCCACCCGGCTCCCAGTGCAGCGAGCTAGTTTGTTTGTCCAGCGGCCACCGCCGCCTCTCCAGCTGTTTGCCAAGCTTAGCGCGCAACGGCGTAGTGCCGGCCCAATTAAGTCTCATTCATTATTCAGTGCCCCAGTCCGCTCCCCGCCCCCAGAGGCCCAGGGCGTTGCTTTGGAGCCCCTCCCCGCTCAGTCCCCTCACTGATCCCTAAGAGTTCATCTGGGGAGCTGTATTTCCTCCCCTACCTGGAATAAGGATTGAGGGACAAAAGCATTCTGCCTACTGCAGGGAGATGACACCGGTGAAACGCACTGGGTCCACTTTGTTCTCAAGACTGGGGGACCTTGGAGATCCAAACCCCTCCTTTAATAGAGCAGGAAATTGAGACGCAAGAAGCTTCATGACTTGGCCAAGGTCACAGAGCAGGACCCAGGATTGAAGGCCCGGACATTGAAATGAAGGTATCTTGCATTCCAGCAAGACATGGCAGAAAGGCAGACCACCCTCTGAGACTTGGGCTGCCACCTAATTCTCCTGAAGGGCAGTTCTCACCTTACCCCTTTTGCTCTTGTTTTTCCCCTCTAGCCCATGGTGGGCGGGAGAAAGCAGCCTCGAGGCTCCCACTGGATCAGGAGGCTGCTCCAGTCTCAGGCCCAGGTCTGGATGTAGAGTCCTCTAACTGGAAGGCTTAGAGGCAGAGGAGTGAAGCAAACTTGGGGAGAGTTTAAGGCAAACTCGAGATGGGTCGTCGCTCTCTGCTGCCTAACTATGGGTCTCTCTGCCTTAGAAGAATTGGAAGTGGAACCAAGCAAGGCAGAGTTGAAGGGCAGTGGAATATGGAGAGGAGTGTGCAGCCAGAGGTGAGGGAGGGAAGTCATCTTCCGATTTACAGAAGGAAGGAGCAATCAAGGGCATGTTCTTGCATTTATATCTGTCTTGTTTGTCTGTTTTGTTTAGTTCTACAGGTGGGGCCCGTCTCCGTGCTCCCACTGAGCAGTCTCTCCAGAGAGACTGCCTTGGGTTGCTCTGTCTCTCCCTGGTCATCTGGACAAGATGAGTCTGGGGACCCGCCCGGACCCGCCCTGCCATAGGCCGCAGCGCCACCTGGCGGCCATAATGCCGCGGTGCAAGAGGCGCTCTCGGCCAAGGGGGGTGGGGTGCTGCACTAGCCCATTTGAGCTGGATGCGTCTGGAAAGACTTCAACCGAGTTTTCCCGAGAGGGCGGGCGAGAGGACTCGGGGCGGGAGGATGATCCCGCGGGCACCGGGGAGGGCCTTGGGGAGGAGCCTGCCCTAGGGCAGCCGGACTTTCGTGACAAAGCAGACACAGAAAGACAAAGTCCATTTGGATAAGAAATTGTACCATAGTGAGAGGGGCCATTTTGATCTGGTGAAAGGAAATAAATGCCTTGTCTGACGCGGTCTGGAGCGGGGACACTCAGGTAGGGCCTCTCAACACAGGTACTAGGGGGTACTGGCTGGTGGTCGTGGGACGCGCTCCCCGTTGAAGGGAGACTGGTAGGCACGCGTTGACATCTGGTTTGATAATCTGAGCATTTGTTCAGGTGCTTTGGAGAGGGTTTCCAAGTCTGCGGGGAGGGATATGGTTTTGGGGTCTCAAGATGTAGTTCAAAATCGCAAAATGTTTAAGTGGAGGGAATTCAGCACCTACTTCACAACTTAGATGGGAAGGTTGGAGAGGCACTAAAGCCTGGACCAGGTGTCTGAGGGCAGCCATAGTCGGAGTTAAATGTGTGTGTATGTGGGAAGAGATGAGCTGAGGAAGAGACTTTCAAAATGCTTGGGAAAATTTGAAAGGCGTCCTAGTCAACGCTTCCTCTTCACACTCCCTTTGTGAGTCATTCTGGAGTCAAGGGTCAAAAGGAAGGTCTGAATTTAAACAGTCTTCTCCCCTACATTTGGAGTGACTGTGTTTGTAAACAACAAGACTGAGGTGCTGGGACAGAGGACAGGGGATAACTAGCATTCCAGGCAGGTCTGGATTTGACTTTTATGAGGACAAATTGACCTGGCATGGTGGCTCACACCTATAATCCTAGCACTCTGGGAGACCAAGGTGGGTGGATTGCTTGAACTCCCTTTGAGACCTGGGTGAGCACCCTGTCTCTACTAAAAATAGAAAAACTGAGGCAAGAGGATCGCTTAAGCCCAAGAGTTAGAGTTTGCTGTGAGCTATGACGCCTCAGCATTCTACCCAGGGTGACAGCTTGAGATTCTGCCTCAAAAAAAAAGAAGAAGAAGAAGGAGGAGGAGGAGGACAAATGGTTACTGTGTTGGACCTGGATATAGTCCTGTTACTCTTTTGTCCGTCTCTTAGGGTCTAAGGATGACTCTGCAGCCATGAAGGTTGCGATTCTCACAGCAGACTCCAAGATTTCTGCACTTGAGCAATGCTGGGTACTACTGGACTTGTTCTGAAACCCTTCCGCTAGAGGATGGCCAAGGGGCTCCTTGTTACCTATGCCCTCTGGGCTATAGGGGGCCCTGCTGGGCTCCACCACCTGTACCTGGGAAGGGACAGCCATGCCCTACTCTGGATGCTTACCCTGGGTGGGGGTGGGGTGGGGTGGCTCTGGGAGTTCTGGAAGCTCCCCAGCTTTGTAGCTCAGGCCAACAGAGCCCAGGGGCTGAGGCAGAGCCCAGGAAGGGCCATGCCCCCTTTGAGTCCCATTCGATTTGCTGCCCAGATGATAGTAGGCATCTACTTTGGCCTTGTGGCTCTGATTAGCCTTTCTTCTATGGCCAACTTCTACACTGTGGCCCTTCCATTGGCAGTTGGCTTAGGGGTCTTGCTGGTAGCTACTGTTGGCAGTCAGACCTCAGACTTTAAGAACACTCTAGGGGTGGCATTCCTTACTTCCCCTATCTTCTATGGTCGCCCCATAGCCATCCTACCTATCAGCTTGGCCGCCAGTATCACAGCCCAGAAGCATCGCCGCTACAAAGCTTCAGTGAAGTCAGAGACACTCAGTGTGCGGCTCTACCGGCTGGGCTTGGCTTACCTTGCTTTCACGGGCCCACTGGTATACAGCACCCTCTGCAACACAGCTGCCACCATCAGCTATATAGCAGAAACTATTGGCTCCTTCTTGAGTTGGTTCAGCTTCTTCCCCCTTCTTGGCCGCTTCATGGAATCTGTCCTCCTTCTACCTTACCGGATCTGGAGGCTACTGGTGGGGGATCCTGGCTTCAGCAGCATCTATTTCCAAGAGTGGGAGAAACTCTATGAGTTTGTTCACAGTTTTCAGGATGAAAAACGTCACCTGGCTTATCAGGTAAGGCTTTCTTCTCTCTCATTCCTCTCTTGGATGGCTCTGGGAGTTAGGCTAAGCCTTGTTGGAACTAGCATCCCTCATGCAGAAGTACTTTTCTTATTTCTGCTGGAAGGGTGTTCTATATTTTATTCTTTTGGCATCTGTGTGCAATGGGCAAAGGTTACAGAGGCTTTAATAGTGAGTGGGGAAAATAGATGTGTATATTATTTACTTTTTATTGACATATAACACACAGGTATAAAGTGCCCTAATTTTAGGTATATACTGCTTAGATGAAGGTATGAAACATTTCCAGTGCTAAGAAGGTTCTTTTGTGCCCCTTCCCAGTCTGTACTCCCAACTTCAGAGGTAACTTCTATTCTGACTTCTATTACCGTAGATTAGTTTTGAATATTCTTGAACTTCCAATAAATGGAATCATACAGTATATATTTTTCTGTATTTTCCATCTTTCATTCAATATTACGTTTATGAGATTTATTGATACTGTTGCAGGCAATTGTAAATTATTTGTTTTCATTGTTGTATAGTATCCCATTATATGATTATACTACAATTTATTTATTCACTCTATCGTTAATGAACATTTGGGTTGTTTCCAGTTTGGGACCATTACAAATAAAGCTGCTATAAACATTCTTGTATATATCTTTGGTGGACATATATACTACTTATTTTTCCTATGGAAGAAGAGATCTTATCAGGGAAGTTAAGTTCCAGATTAGAAAATGGGCAGTTGTGATTAAAAGCAAATGGCTCTCTTGCCATGAGATCCAGAACTTGTCCATGTTTCAGAAGGCTGGAATTCTAACCTGAGAGAGTGGTCTATTCCTATGGGTAAGTAGAAGCCAATTCCAGAGATACCATAGCCTGACATAGCAAAGGTTCAGGAAGAGACCGAGGAGCCCTGACAACTTCTGAGATTCTAATTTTCACCTTTGTTTCTGTAAGGTTTTGGGTCTCCCAGAGGGGGCAACAAATGAAGAAATACATCAGAGTTACCAGGAGCTGGTGAAGGTCTGGCACCCTGACCACAACTTGCACCAGACAGAGGAAGCACAGAGGCACTTCCTGGAGATCCAGGCCGCATATGAAGTCCTGAGTCAGCCCAGAAAACCCAAGGGATCCTGAAGGTGAGAAGAAAGTTCCCCCTACGATGAACTCTTCTCAGCAGGGCTGGGAAGCTTTTCTCAATTCTAGCTTTGCCCACAAGTGACATCCCAACAGTGTTAAAGAAATTATCTGCTTGCAGTGGAGATGAGAAAACCTTAAAAGGATGAGAGAGATTATGATAGAAGAATGTATTTATGTTCTGAATTTTTGGCTATTGTATTCTTGACTATTTCTTCTTAAGACTAGAGGGTGAAAGACATATTATCAAACCAATAAAATATCTTTTAGCATATATACAAATATTATATGTGAGTTTTTTTTTTTTGGAAACAGCCTCAAGCTGTTTCTCTGGGTACAGTGCCGTGGCATCACAGCTCACGGCAACCCCCAACTCTTGGGCTCAAGTGATTCTCTTGCCTCTGCTTCCCAAGTAGCTGGGACTACAGGCACCCACCACAATGCCCAGCTATTTTTTGGTTGCAGCTGTCATTGTTGTTTGGTGGGCCCGGGCTGGATTTGAAACTGCCAGCTCAGGTGTATATGGCTGGTGCCTTAGCTGCTTTAGCCACAGGCACCGAGCCGCCTGACTATCTTTTCGTTGTAGTTGTCATTGTTGTTTGGGAAGCCCTGGCTGGGCTTGAACCTGCCACCTCTGGTGTATGTGGCTGGTGCCTTAGCTGCTTGAGCTATAGGTGCTGAGCCTATATATAAATTTTTAAAGTTAAAGAATAAATATATATATCATATATATATATATATATTATCTTTATATATCCTTGTCCCACCTGGTACATGGATATGTGGAGGAAGGTTATTTAATTTTCCTTTTTTGGGGGCAGCGCTGTGGCTCAGTGAGTTGGGCGCCAGCCCCATATACCCAGGGTGGCAGGTTCAAACCCAGCCCCGGCTAAACTGCAACAAAAAATAGCCAGGTGTTGTGGCTGGCACCTGTGGTCCCAGCTACTCTGGAGGCTGAGGCAAGAGAATTGCCTAAGCCCAGAGGTTGCTGTGAGCTGTAACTTCATGGCACTCTAATAAGGGCAACAAAGTGAGACTCTGTCTCTAAAAAAAATAAAATAAAAATAAAAAAAATTTTCTTTTTTTTTTTTTTTTTGAGACAGA